TCGTCCTGATCTCATTTTTCACTGGAAGTCGGTCATTAGGGGCGGAGTCTGGAGGCGGAGTCACTGGAAAAAAGGAGGAGCCACTGAACCTATGTTGCGCTACGGTAAAATCTCGTAAAATTTTCCCCTCGTAAAATTTTTTGCCGCGAAACAGGTACAAGGTTGTTCGTCGCGGACCACTCTAACCTCCTGACGCCATATTTACAACTTCGATACCGTGCCTGACCGTGACTTCAATAACTCATGTCATTGTTTCGACATGGAAAAATGTAAGCGAAATTTGGCCCTGATATGGGGTTCGCACCGTACTGATATGCGGTGTACAGCGTCAAAAGGAGCCAGTCAGCATACAATAAACCCAGTGCCGGGATTCTTTACAGAGCTTCGCACGGCTGAAATGTGACTTGGCAGTTGTCCATTTTGGTGCATTGCATACATTTGGTGTGAATTCTGCGCAGGTAACGACATGCAATGCCGCCTTCACCAGGTTTTCGCAACGTGGGTCTCCCAACCGAAACTGCGGAACCGAGCGCTCACGCCCGTCCCATGCGTGGAACGGAACAAGAGCTTAAAGGCAGTTGGCACGATGGTTTCCTACTTAGCCTAAAATGCCAGTAGGGCGCTGTATAGGGGGAATGGCGAAAGAACGGAGTGAAACGGTCAAAATCCGGCGAAGAAAAAGCCTCCGTTCTCAGTGACTTGTAAATCGATTTCGGACGAGTTTCCCGTACGCATCTTGCCAATCACCGCTACCGAAGATACGGCTGCATATGTGTACCCATATATGCATGCAGCATCACCGCCGCTTCATACCAATCCCTTTGCTTCATAATTTGCTCAGCAAATGAATGAATACGAGCGTCAGAAACGGTCGTCCGTTTGTGGGCGGGCGGGCAAGGAAGGCGTTTGGGACGTAAAGTTGTTGCTCAATAGGGCGTTATAGAGGTACCCTCCTTGGAAAAGGCTTCACGCAGCGCCTAGGTCACGGAATTCTGTTAAGCCAGTTGTACAAATTCCTACCGTGTGCTTAGCAGATTTATCGTGCCAACTGCCTTTAATGTATTCCAGTGATGAAGAGCCTCGGTATCTACGTATTTTATATGGCACATCGACCCGATGGGGAAAATTTTTGCAAACATCCTCCTCTTCCCAACAGCCGTAGTGCGGGAAGCGATGAGCTATGTATGTATAAAGGATAAAAAGGATAAGTCTTCGCCGTTGATCAATCCCTTGTGTGGGATGCGGCACGCATTCTACTTCCATTCAGAATCGTAGTGGGTTATTGAATGCGATGTGGCCTATACAATGACTTGCGGTGGCCAGCCGATGTACAAGTCAGTGTTTTATCCTCCCAGACGAATCTGGTACCAATTCACCGTCCCCGGAGGGTAGAAGGCTTGGTTGGCCTGGGCGGGAGTCGACCCGGGATTCGAACCCGGGACCGCGCGAATGGTGAGCGCCCCACTTGTCACTACACCATCTCCGCCTCTAACCTTGTAATCTCAGCACTTAATCTTCACGAGAAGTAATATATTTGAGGAGTTTAAGACATAACGTGGCGTAAATCGGTCCGAGCAGGTCGGCGATGTGACGAGGGGAGGTTGAGGGAAAGAAACCCGTTAAACTCCCCGAAGGCTCCAAGAGTAAAATTTAGGTGCTTGGTTGGTTTTTAGAGGCATGACTTGTGCGCGCGTCAAAAAGGACTCCATTCCGAACAGGAGTATGCAAGGCTCTATTCAGAAAACCCGAGCAACTTCTACGCCCGAGTTTGAATCACGTTCCTTGGTCCTGCCTTGCTCGTCCCTTGCCTTGTCTCGGTTATGCAAAGCAGGTGCAAGGAATGGGCAAGGACCAAAGGCTTAGTAAGATCTCTGCTCATTTCTAGCAATATAATTCGGACGTTGAAACTGCTCGGATGTTTCGAGGACGTTCTTGTGAAGCGCTGATATAGTCCCATACGGTGGTCAGCGTATACAGATGCCAATGTTTGTCCCTCTCAGCAACGGCTCATGTATCAGTGGCCAACCATAAAAGGATCGACTTCTCGGTTCGCCTGTGCAAGGATGGATCTGCAGTTGGATCCATGGTCATACAGTGGTCAGTCTTGATTTGGGCGAAGATGGTTAGTGGCAAGTTGTCTGCCTAGCACGCGTACGGTCAAGGGGTCAGATCAGACTATACTCCCGCTCAGGCACATTGACTGTTAACTGGTATCAGATTCGTGTCCTAGGATGAAAATGCTGATTCATTCATCAACGGGCCCTGCAAATGATTATCGTCCTGCCGATGGGGGAATTTTGCAAAGGGCAACGTTTTCGAAATTTCTGAACATCTCCTCCTCTAATGCGACCCCCTGTAGACATTGGCATATACGAACCCCTCCCTCCTGCATCCAAGTACGACCCTCTCCTGCTGGGGACCTCTAACGAAACCAATAGCGTGGAAGGTCCTACTAATTATGCAGAGGGAGGGTTCCCAGAGGGGTTTTTTAAGAAAATTTTATCCTTTTTATCCTTTCACGGTGGCTGATTTAGTATGGGAGGCCAAGGATTTTAGGGTTCTTTTTGATAGGAAAGATCCTTCCTTCTGATTTCCCTTCTAAATCGATTTTGAGTGATTTTCGATGACATTGTTGGAATGCCCAAGTCTTCAGTATTCCCGATAGCTAACTATGTCGATTTGTGAGGTCCACATGGTCATAATCGGCAATTGTTGAGATCGTGCGCACTGGCCGATTGAACGCTGTTTTGTTTTGTGCTGTTTGTTTAAGCGCAAGCTGTGAAAGCGATGGTCTGGCCCATGGTGCGGTATTGTAAGCATGTAATCGTATGATTGAAGGCATGTCGAAATCGATGTGTCTTTCCATAATTTCTACAAAATCACTAATCAAGTAGATTTATGGCACAATAAGTGACATAGAGACTTACACAAACACATTCTGATCCGTATTTGTACACACATAATCCCGAAGGGAAGGTCATTCTCTTTGAAGCAGCTAAGCTCGACGTCGGCGTTGACGACAGCATTGTGTGCCTCGGTTACAGGGTGAGTATCCCACTCTACACTGACAGGTTTGCTGTGCCTGTACCCCCGTGACGGGTTCACAAGCCATGACAATGGGCTGTGTAGCTGAAGATGGCGAGCATGTCTGCATGCAGCTCTGTTGGCAAGCCGGCTGGCACGTGGTTACTGGTTGACTTTGTTGAACACATTGTGTAGAACATGAAGACTCACACTGCGTTTGGCACTGAGCAGACTGGGCAATGCTTGGCTGAAGAACGACTCGGATAACTGGCGGTTCTTGAGCTTGCTGAGCTACACAAGCGCTTTGACATTGCTGACATTGTGCAGGAGATTGTGCTGGAGCGCATTGCGCCTGACACTGCTGTACACATGCTGGTTGTGCTGCAATGCACGTGCTTTCACAAGCTGGCATACATGCTGGAGCACATTGAGCCGGAGCTTGAAATGGAGCAGGGGCTGGAGGAGCTGCAGCTGGAGCCTGAACATTGACAGATATGCAGAATTCGCCACATTTCGCTTGACACTGATCCAAACATGGCGCGACTGATTGCTGGGTGGCACAAACGGATTGACACTGTGTCTGGCATTGAGGCATGCAGTTGACGTCTTGCCGGGATACTGGAACGTTGATACGGATGGGCTGTTGCACAGGTATTTGCTGTTGCTGTACTTGCTGCTGTTGAATGCAGGATGGTTGACAAGCTGGTTGACATTGAGGAGTACATTGTACAGCTGCTTGTTGCTGCTGGATGCAGGATGGCTGGCAAGCTGGTTGACATACAGGAGCACATTGCACTGCCGCTTGCTGCTGAGGTTGACATGGAGGAACACACTGATCATACGTGATTGGTGGCAGGTTATTCACAACAGGACCTGGAGCAGGAACAAGAGCAGGAGCTTGCATTTGCACAGCACAGGCGTTGGTGCATTGAACCTGACACTGATTACTGCAAGCTGTAGGAGACTGCTGAACCGCACAAGTTTGCTGACACTGCTGCTGGCACGCCGGTTGACATTGCATACTTGGCTGCCCGAGAGGAACGCTGAGCAGCACATTCAGAACGGGCTCATTGCAAAAGCTGGAGCACTGCGAACGGCATTCATTGTTGCAGTAGGTGACCGGCTGTTGTTGAGCGACACAGGATTGCTGGCACACTTGTTCACACGATGGTTGGCATTGGTTGACAACAGGAAGTGGCTGAATTGCTTGTGGCTGACAGCTACCCAGACAACTAATCTGACAGTTTTGCTGACAAGTGTTCAACGTAGAGCCACTGCATTGCTGAGCACAACTTTGTTGGCATGCAGGTTGGCACTGTAAAGCGGTGACTTGAATCGGCTCAACGGCTCCCGCAGGTTGGCATCCGCAATTTGGCTGTATCGGCTGGCTTTGGCACGAGCACTGCATCGGTTGCAGTTGCAGTGGTATGCAGACGCACTGAGCTTGTGTCTGTGAGCAGTCGCATTGCCGACGGGTTCGAATGACTTTGGCCTGAAAAAAAGTTTGGTTTAGCTAGCAGAATACATGTTTGCAGTTTTTTGTTCGGAGCAGTGTTTTTGGAAAAGTACTTGGACTTACACTCCATATCCCAAAGTGGGAGAGGGCGTGGCTGCGCATTTTGTTTCAGCAGCGCTGGATGCGTTTTTCGCGATTTATTTCGGTTTGAAACAACTTTCATCCTGTTTTTTTTTTGGACAAAAACATGATTTCAACGGTTCCGAAATGGCAGCATTCCATCAAAAGCGCAGGCGACGCCCTCGCCCTCCCGTTTGAACGAAGTATGTAGCCACGCCCTCTTCATGTCCGTGATGGAGTGCACTTGACTGCTGTACGGTTATTGCTTTAACGAATGAGAGAGTTTTATTCCGGAATTAGGAAAAGGAGGGGAGCGACTACTAGTGTATAAGCTTATTCGCCCTCTTGTTCGCTAAATGCTTTCGAATTTGGCATGTTTGTAGGAAAAGCGCGCAGAGCGACACGCTTTGCGCGAGGTGCGCGCACACGTGGCGGAGTGGCCAGCAGTTGCCTACGACCATTCTTTCATTGCGTTCTCGTCGCATGACGACGAGCAATCATGGCGTATACCCCATTCAGAATCTTGAAAACGTTGCCAGACAGAGAATAGGGAAAGCAGTGGATGCGAGTAGACGCAGATAAGTCGGGGCGCGTAGCGGCTTAGCGCCAAATCGATCCCGATAGGGGGTTGCTGTTCTTCTTATCAAGTTTTTTTTTTTTTTTTTTGTGCGTTTGTGTGGTGTTTTGTTGTGGGGGTCGTTTTCGTTGTTGTAACAGAGTGTTGGTTTCGTTTTTTTTTTGTTTTTTTTTGGTTTTTTTTTTGTGTCTGGCCCCCACTTCTCAAGAAGCAGAGCGGGCGCTTCCAAAGAATCAAACAGTTCTGCCTAACAAGTGATTGACTTCACACCACCTAGTGGAAACCACTACAAGGCCTCGCAAGCAGTAATCATGGCGAAATGCTGGCGTGGAGACGCCCTAAGAACTCGCCGAGGCTTCAAAAAATTGTATGTCTGATTGCCGATGTTCAACCGGTTGTACTAGAAAGGCAGATCTCCTCGAGGCCAACGGAGATCTAAGAACCAGGGCGCATATTGATTGTACACGAGTTAATGCCACGGTTGTACGCTCTACGCGTCCCCTAGTAGGATTGACCATTACTTAGCCCCTCCAAAAAAAGATTGTTTTCATGCTGTTGCCCTATTTTTTCCTGTTTCAAGCGGCCGTTACAGTCCCTTCCTGCCACCCCTCCCCCGTCCTTCCCTCTCTCGCCCTGCTTCACCACAGTCTTTCGGAGAAAAGTGTCGAAAAATGGTGGAAAGTTGGGAAAGTTAAAGGCACTCTCCGCGATAAAATAAGGCTATAATCCCTCAAATGTGTAACATGATCTGGAAGGCGATTCTGGAGGCTGTGCTACCCTCAGAAAGTGAAGAATTGGCAAGAACTCCGCTGAAAGCTGACCAATTAGGCCCATGGGCACCCCTTAGGCCCATGCCGACCCCCACGGCTGCTAGCTACTAGCTAGTAGCCACTATGCTATCTCTCTCCATTCCGAATGGTGAGAGTGAGGTGATACGATAAAAGAGCTGATATCTTTATGATAACGACGAGTGGAAATTCGTACAAACATGCGTTTTCTTCATTGCATGCACGTACAAGTTGGGGATAGGCTTGGAGTCCTATTTGGGGCATTTCGGATCGCTTTTGCATCTTTTCGCCACTAGTCAATCACCAAATCACTAAGCACCTTGTCGTTCGTATTTAGGCCCTGTTACCAACAATCTGTGGTTTCGGGCACTGCCTTGAAAGAAGGAAGGTCCTAGGTAGGATGGGGATGGGGAAAGGGGGATTCGTACCAAAGGAGGAATTTTGACGGGCTGGGCGGTGGGTATTTTGCAAAACTTCCTCCTAACAGCAGGACATGCTGTGGCAGGAGCAGCTGCAGGAGTTCTTGAGTGCTGCTCGCTGGCTTGCATCTCAAGAAAGAGGCTTCCTGAAGAGGCACTTCCAGACTTAAGTGAATCGTCTGAGCGGTTCAGCAGAACGCTCTTGTCCCAGGAGTCATAAAACTAGAATTTGC